CACTGTGAAAGAGTAGCGAAATTCCAAGCGCTTTCGTGACTACTCACATTGTCAAGGAACTATGAAAGTAATACATCAAAGGAAGGCAATTAAAGGGCTTAGACCACACCTCACAGTGGGGGTTGACTGTGAGGTGTGGTCTAAGCCCTTTAATTAGCTTTCTTTGATGTATTACTTTCATAGTTCCTTTACAATGTGAGTAGTCACGAATGCGCTTGGAATTTCACTACTCTTTCACAGTGGTTGTTTTGTATACATATACATCAATAAAAATATTGCGACTAGCCAAGGACTCGAACCCATGTTGTTTTGTCCCGCCTCAAAGATGAGCGAAAATCCACATGACGGTCTAACCCACAGGACCACCAAATCCTACAAGAATCAAGCTCTCAGCAGTGGTAGGTGTGTTGTCTTGATCCGAGAACATACGGTGGTGTGGATGCCTCTAAACTAATTTCATTCTACTAATTGAGGCTGAGGGACTGACCACCTCAGATACTATTCCTCCAAGGTTGATGGACAGATTACATCTTCATTTCACTACTAAACCCGTTGTCTCTGTTTCTGACTGAAGAAGCCTGCTGTGTAGGCGAAGCGTTTCAACAATAAAGATACCCAATTGATACCTAACTGCATAAAAAACTTATTTCTTACTACGAATAAATCTTTTCGTGTACATTAAGTTAGCCGAGGCTGGCGTTATGCAAGACGGGGATACTTTCCTCCGATCGTACATTGACCAAAATGGTTTAGACAAACACCAGGACACCTGCACTAAAAGAGGAGTCCTCATTGGCTTCTTCTTGAGAGTTCTTCTCAACTCCAGCCCTTGTTTTCTTGAAGAAGAATGTATTTACATAACACAAGCCTTTACACATCATCAGTTTCCATCTTTCTTCATCCGAGATCGCAGACTCAAGGCACAAGCTATCCTCAACAAACCGCCCATGGAACAGCCCTCTAAGCAGTTCATAGTGCTCCCATGTGGTGATGTTGCTAGGAATACTCGCCGGGCACTTGCTGAGAGTAACTTCAACGTTTCCAGCATTAACACATCATCTATCAAAGACCGCACTACGAAACGCAGCCCCACACCTCTATCTTCCACAGCAGCTGTCTACACCATCCCCTGTGGATTCTGTCCCAACAAATATGTAGGCGAAACAGGCAGAGATCTTGCGGTCCGCCTGAACGAGCATCGAAGTGCCTGTACAGACGATTTAAGGTACGCCTGTGTCCTCCACAGAGATTCCACGAGGCATTTGATGAACTGGGATAAGGCACATATCGTTCTCACTGAACCAGATCTTAGACGCTGACGGTGTCTAGAAGCCTCGCTGATCGCCGTCACCGACAGAATAGAACGTAACAAAATTTCTAAAACAGCATACATGATAAGCAGGCTAAGCACCACCAACCCAACAACACAGGAGTCACATGATCTCATCTTCTACCCGTCCTCATCCCAACATGGCATTCTTCAGGTCACCATGCGTCACTCACACCTCACTCTCCGCCTATATATAAAGTCTTTCAATCTCTGTATGTAAGAAGTGATCAAGGTCCCAGGACCGAAACGTTTTCTAATAAATATAAGAACATAAGAACGAAGGAACACTGCAGCAGGCCTACTGGCCCATGCGAGGCAGGTCCAAGTCTCCCACCAGCTTAAGCCAATGCACCCAAACTAGTCAGGTCAGGTCACCTTGACTTAGGGGAGGAACACGGCAACCGACCTGGTAGCACAAGCTATCAGGTCCAACTCACACCCACCCACATCCACTCATGTATTTATCCAACCTATTTTTAAAGCTACACAACGTTCTGGCCTCTATAACTGTACTCGGGAGTTTGTTCCACTCATCCACAACTCTATTACCAAACCAGTACTTTCCTATATCCTTCCTGAATCTGAATTTTTCCAACTTAAAACCATTGCTGCGAGTCCTGTCTAGGCTAGATATTTTCAGCACACTATTTACATCCCCTTTATTTATTCCTGTCTTCCATTTATACACCTCAATCATATCCCCCCTAATTCTACGTCTTTCTAGAGAGTGCAGATTCAGGGCCCTTAGTCTATCCTCATAGGGAAGGTTTCTGATACATGGGATCAACTTTGTCATCCTCCTTTGTACATTTTCCAGAGCATTTATATCCATTCTGTAATACGGTGACCAAAACTGTGCAGCATAATCTAAATGAGGCCTAACCAAGGATGTATAGAGTTGAAGAACAACCTGAGGACTCCTATTATTTATGCTTCTTGATATGAAGCCAAGGATTCTATTAGCTTTATTGCGAACACTTATGCACTGTTGTCTTGGTTTCAGATTACTGCTAACCAGAACTCCTAAATCTTTTTCGCAATCCGTAATATTAAGATCTACATTATTTAGTTTATATGTGGCATGGTTATTGTCCTGTCCAACATTTAGAACTTTGCATTTGTCTATATTAAACTGCATCTGCCACCTCTCCGACCACTGCATCAGTCCTAGTGTTTGCATCATGTCCTAGTGTTTGCTTACGTGTTTCTCTAAACCAACCTGTCGGTATTTAATACCAAGGTTTATTTATACCATCGACCAAAATACATTAAGTTATTATGATTTATGATGCCCCGTGGCCTGGTGGCAAAAGCTCTCGCTTCACACGATGAGGTCCGGGTTTAATTCCATGCGAAGAGGTAGAAACATTGGGCGTGTTTCCTTACATCGGTTGTTTATGTTCACCCATCAGTAAAATGGGTACCTGGGTGTTAGTCGACTGGTGTGGGTCGCATCCTGGGACAAAACTGACCTAATTTACCCGAAATGTTCAGTATAACAAGGTGCTTTCTATATAGTAGTATGTCATTGATGCCAGCCAGGCCTGTATACCTTGTACATGTACTTGTACAAAGAGTCCTGGAGATGGGAAGTACAGTGTCTACACTGAAGGAGGGGTGTTAATGTTGCAGTTTTATAACTGTAGTGTAAGCACGCCTCTGGCAAGACAGTGATAGAGTGAATGATAATGAAAGTTTTTTCTTTCTCGGGCCACCCTGCCTTGGTGGGAGACGGCCCATGTGTCGTGGGGGTTCGTTGATGGATTTGGAGTAAATAATACTAGCTATGGATGTCTTGGTAATTATAACTGATACTACTGATAGATGTGTTAATAAAAATATATTATTATTATTATTATTATTATTAATTATTATTATTATTATTATTATTATTATTATTATTATTATTATTATTATTATTATTAATCATTGTACTCCTCGCTGTCAAAAATTATCGAAAAAGAAACAGACTATAAATTCCACAAAATAAGATGGTGGGATTCAACTATGAATGCTTAATTAAGAGTAGCACACTGGATAAGACAGCTGCGACTCAGTCATGCGTACGGAATTGCGTAATAACCAGTGCCCAGATGATCTTTCCAAAATTTACCCAAGGTTACTAACCAAAGCCAACGTGGTACTAGGGAAAGCGAACTTAACTTCGTAGTAGATTCAGTAGGGTGGCTAGGCTTCCACCACCACTACATTCAGTAGGGTGGCTAGGCTTCCACCACCACTACATTCAGTAGGGTGGCTAGGCTTCCACCACCACTACATTCAGTAGGGTGGCTAGGCTTCCATCACCACTACATTCAGTAGGGTGGCTAGGCTTCCACTATCACTACATTCAGTAGGGTGGCTAGGCTTCCACTATCACTACATTCAGTAGGGTGGCTAGGCTTCCACTATCACTACATTCAGTAGGGTGGCTAGGCTTCCACCACCACTACATTCAGTAGGGTGGCTAGGCTTCCACCACCACTGCATTCAGTAGGGTGGCTAGGCTTCCACCACCACTACATTCAGTAGGGTGGCTAGGCTTCTACCACCACTACATTCAGTAGGGTGGCTAGGCTTCCATCACCACTACATTCAGTAGGGTGGCTAGGCTTCCACCACCACTATATTCAATAGGGTGGCTAGGCTTCCATCACCACTATATTCAGTAGGGTGGCTAGGCTTCCATCACCACTACATTCAGTGGGGGTGGCTAGGCTTCCACCACCACTACATTCAGTAGGGTGCTAGGCTTCCATCACCACTATATTCAGTAGGGTGGCTAGGCTTCCATCACCACTACATTCAGTAGGGTGGCTAGGCTTCCACCACCACTACATTCAGTAGGGTGGCTAGGCTTCCATCACCACTATATTCAGTAGGGTGGCTAGGCTTCCATCACCACTACATTCAGTAGGGTGGCTAGGCTTCCACCACCATTACATTCAGTAGGGTGGCTAGGCTTCCATCACCACTACATTCAGTAGGGTGGCTAGGCTTTCATCACCACTACATTCAGTAGGGTGGCTAGGTTTCCACCACCACTACATTCAGTAGGGTGGCTAGGCTTCCATCATCACTGCATTCAGTATAGTGGCGGCTAGGCTTCCACCACCACTACATTCAGTAGGGTGGCTAGGCTTCCATCACCACTACATTCAGTAGGGTGGCTAGGCTTCTATCACCACTACATTCAGTAGGGTGGCTAGGCTTCCACCACCACTACATTCAGTAGGGTGGCTAGGCTTCCACCACCACTACATTCAGTAGGGTGGCTAGGCTTCCACCACCACTACATTCAGTAGGGTCGCTAGGCTTCCATCACCACTACATTCAGTAGGGTGGCTAGGCTTCCACCACCACTACATTCAGTAGGGTGGCTAGGCTTCCATCACCACTACATTCAGTAGAGTGGCTAGGCTTCCACCACCACTACATTCAGTAGGGTGGCTAGGCTTCCACCACCTCTGTTACGCAACGATGGAGAAGTGGAATGGGTTTCCTGATGTCAGGGTCAGTGTTAGTTTAAACCAGTTTGAGATTAGAGTTTAAGAGTACGAAAGTAATTAAGTTACTGCGAGAGAAGAATGATTTCTTGACATTGTTAACTAAACTTGACCTTGCACTGTACATTCGTTAGCATTGTTCGTTTATACTTACATTAGTAAGAATGGTAGAGGATAAAAAGGAATGTATGTTTGCCTAAGTGTAATAGCAGCGATATTTGCATATAGGAAATAAATAACTAGGTCACTTACCAAGTTAGGTAATATTCGTTTGGAAACAGGACAAGTGTTTCCTGACAAGGCTCTTAGTTGTACGATGACCCACCGCTGGAGGTTTCTGTCATCTGACCGAGGCCTTGTGATTATAATCATTTATTGGTATCTTGAAAAATATAACTATGTGTCTAATGTTCATTTAACTTCTCTATTCAAGTATATAATACTTTCATTTTAATATGAAAATAAATTTTCACGTATTGTATTTCGTTGTTATTTTTAACACCTGTTGGAGAGGTGTGAGGTTTGCTCAGACCTCTATAACACAGTTGTCCTCAAAGATTTGTTAAGTTATACCATGAATTAAGGAAAGATCCTGGACTTCACTTTACGAAACAAAGCAAATGCGTTAGTAATTATGGACAAGGTAGATTATAGTGGAAAAATGAACATGTTATTCAAAGACGGGAGAACTTACGTGCCTCTTAAATCCATAGGAGTTATATAAAGCCTGGGAAATAGGAGGCATTCAGGTTTGATTCACAGAACGTGAGGATTAATCCAATTCCAAAGCTCAGGAGCCCCTAAGCAGAATCAAGGAACCTTCCTAGATGCTTGATCCATGGATCATGCATGTTCATGATGAATAACAAGGCACAATGCTTTGACTTAATGTGACCAAATCACATTAAGCCTTAATGTGGAAGGTTGAGACACTTACCCAACATATGGGAATCTTAATGAGTGAATAAGTGTCTCAATCTTCAACTTGTCGGTTTTAAACCATTTATCACAAATCTTAATGTGACCAAATCAGTGCTTTGACTTAATGATCCAAGTCGGACTGAAAAGTTGTCATAATTTGTGTCTCCCGTGTCCGGGTTATTTATGTCCAGGATGTCACGCTACTTCATGACGAGAGACAAATTTTAGGAATCTATTTTACGGCTCCTTGACAGGTGATGAGAAGTTACAAACAGCCGAGTGTTTATGTTTAAGTGTTTACCACTGATAAATGATATTACGAGGTACTCGGAGGATTCGACAGAGCGGATAGAAATAGATTGTCTATAATGGGAGACATTGGGAATAGATGCAAACTGAAAAGAATGAAGAGTTATAAGAATGTGAGAAATATATTTTTTTCTTTCAGAGTGGTTAAGTGGAATGTACTGAATGAGGAGGTGATGGAGGTATACTCCATACACAGTTTCAGTATGAGGTATGATAGTGTACGAAGCCAGGAAATATTAATGCGTCTTAATTAATCAAGACCAATGGCTAGGAATTGAGATTCACTACACACACACACACACACACACACAGGGATGTTAGGAAGTATTTCTTCAGTCACAGAGTAGTCAGTAAGTGAATAGTTTGGGAAGCGATGTAGTGGAGGCAGGATCCATACATAGCTTTAAGCAGAGGTATGATAAAGCTCACGGCTCAGGGAGAGTGACCTAGTAGCGATCAGTGAAGAGGCGGGGCCAGGAGCTCGGACCCGACCCCCGCAACCTACCTCAACTAGGTGAGTACTAGGTGAGTACACACACACACACACACACACACACACACACACACACACACACACACACACACACACACACACACACAGACATTCTCATATTCAGCAGGCCTAGTGTCTAATCGACATGTGCCTAGGACAAAATGGTAACTAACTAACACACACGTTCTCATATACAACAGGCCTAGTGTCTAGTCGACATGTGCCTAGGACAAAATGATAACTAACACACACACACACACCCCACACACACACACACACACACACACACACACACACACACACACACACACACACAAGGGCGGTGAGCAGCAGAAGAATCAAACGAAACGAAAAAAGAGGAAAGAAAAAGAAGTGAGAAACACTGGGAAGAATTTTAACAGAACCAAATATGAAGAGAAACAGAACAAACCAGAAAAAGGCAACACAAAAGATGGACATTTTCACTTCAAAATAAAGAAAAAAAAGTAAATTCAGACAAAAAAAAGTCAACAGGACGTTAAAAAAACACGACCGAGAGAATAAATAAAAAGGCTCAATGTACTGGACTGGAACAATTCTCAAACATTCACATAGAAAAATGAAAGTTATGACCACATTTCAGCCCGACTTGGACCAATAGCTGTGACTAGTTAATGGTCCAAATCGGACCGAAACGTCGTTAAAGGTTTCGTTCTCCCATGTGCGGGTTATTTGTATTCAAGTCCAAAAGCTTGAAATACGAATAGAAAATGCAAAATGGTCTAGGTGATGAAAGTGAGAAGACCCACGCAAACTATTGGGGGACAATAACATTCAGATCACGAGTCCTTGTCAGGTCAGGGTCTCTCCCAGGAGACGCAGAGTATATAAGAACTATGAAAGAAGAAGAGTCTCACTTGTTACCCCAGAAGTGCCCGGAGATGAGAGGGGTGAGTACTGTATACACCTGTCACCCGTCCCTTGACATGATAATAAATTAGACACATGTGCAACTCTTGGGTATCTTTATTGAGGAAACGTTTCGCCACACAGTGGCTTCATCAGTCCATACAAAGGAGAATCTTGAAGAACAGGAGGAGAATGAGGTAATCAGTCCCTCAACCTTGAGTCGATGTGGTCAGTCCATCAATCTTGAATAGAATACGGCATACGTGCTGAGAAGGAGCTTATAAACCGTTGGCAGGAGAGGTGCAGTAGTCATAGGTCGTGTAACATTTGTTCAATGTTGAAGTAGGTCGTGCCCAAGAATTAGGCAAGCGAAGAATTCCCAAGTATTAAGATCCCAAGAAGTTGCAGTGTCTGATACCCAAGAGTTGCACATGTGTCTAATTTATCAACATGTCGGTTCTCTGAACCATTCATCTACAAACTACGTCCCTTGACATACAAGCAAACAGATAGACGTATTGAGTGCCCTGTTTTGTTTATGTTTCTTATATTCAGAAGTGTCTCTACCATCTATGGGCATTACCAAAAGCCTGGTAATAATACCGGACGGAGGATCGATCCTCCACCATATCCTTGTAAAAAAATCAAGGAACATGTGTGGTTTGAACCCATAGCAAGTGTGTCCTAAAATTCACAGGCCAGTGCGTTAACCTGCTAGTTTTAGAACTCACTTGTCATGGGTTTAAACCTTACCCGTCCCCTGATTTGTTTACAATCGTGTTATTACGATTTCGTGAGTCAGGTTATTGTGCTGAATAGACAACACGAATTTAGTACTTCATGAAATACAGTCTACAGTCCAACACTATAACTAGGTGGTACCATAATTTCCGCAACATTTTTGGTTGGTCTAAATTCCCTACTTGGAACATAAGTTGTCTGGGCAGCTAGAACTATTCTCTGGAAAACGTCATATTGGCAACCAACACCACCTACCTGACCCATAGTCAAGTCATCCCAATTTAGCCCACCCAGGCAATTTCTCAGTCCCATGAAGTCGGCAAAGCAGAAGTCTGAAACAGAGACTTGATTGCAGTTATTTGGGTAATTTCATGATATATTGAAACTAAGTGATTTGTGATCACTTTCCCCAAGCTCATCATTAACCTCAAGATTATTAATTATTGATTACTTGTTGGCAACAACCAAGTCAAGCAGAGCAGATTGTTTCCTCTAGTTGATTCTGACATAAACTTTTAAAAACAACCCTGAATCATATCAACAAAGTCGTTGGACTCATTTTTTTCTGTCATATTGTTCCAATCAATTTGTCTAAAGTTAAAAATCACCAATTAACAAGACATTTTCAAATCTAGAGGCCTTATGAATCACACCCAGAATTAATTTGTCGTGACCCTCGAGAAACTGTAGCCAAACAGATTCTGTGTCCGATGCTTCTATTCTTATATCTCGTCTAACACAGTTTAAATTATCTCTGATGTACATCGCCACTCCACCTCCCTTCCTGTTGACCCTATCAGTGTGGAATAGTTTATAGCCTTGTATGTGGCATTCAGAAGGCATTTCTTTATCTTTCAGGTTGAACCAGGTCTCTGTTATAACAATAATATTTAAATTATCTGCACGTGAGAACATAAGAAAGAAAGAACACTGCAGCAGGCCTACTGGTCCATGTAAAGCAGGTTCAATTCTCCTACCGGCTTAAGCCAATGCCTTAACCTAGTCAGGTCAGGTCACATTCACCTAAGGAAGGAGCACAGCATCTGACCTAGTAGCACAAACTCACACCCACCCACACCCACTCATGTATTTATCTAACCTATTTTTAAAACTTCACAGGTAAACATCTTAGCCGTCTTAGCCTCTATAACTGTCCTCGGGAGTTTGTTCCACTCATCCACAACTCTATTACCAAACCAGTGCTTTCCTATATCCTTCCTGAATCTGAATTTTTCCAACTTAAGGCCATTGCTGCGAATAATCTTAACTCATCTATCTTATTTCTTAGACTCCTAACATTAGTACAGTAAATCTTAAGGGAGCTAGTCACTCTCTGCCCTCTACTGTCTCTCTTTGCTTATCAATTGTTTTGTATTTACTAGCAACTTTATTTTGAATATTGTCTTTCATGTTTCCTCTTACCTGACAATTGCTATTACGTACACAGGTAATAAGGTGGTCACATTAAAGAAAGATCTACGCTATTGTTTTGACTAAAATTGGATCATGTATTCGTATTTCAGCTGACGTTGTTGTTGTTGGGGCTGACGGCGGTGTATGCCGCTCCCCAGTACTTCATACCTTCTCCATCACCACCCCCACCCCCACCGCCACCACCACCGCCACCACCGCCACCACCACCACCACCCCCACCTCCAACACCTCCACAACCACCTCGAACATACATCACTCCAGGCTCACCACCACCACCACCTCCAACACCTCCACAACCACCTCGAACATACATCACTCCAGGCTCACCACCACCAGAGACACCAACAAACACCAACATTCCTCTGGAAACTGGAGTAGTAAAACCAGCAGTGAGATCATAACTGAGGAGCGTGTGGGACCTGACGCACAGGGTAACTACAACTTTATCTTCGAGAGTAGTGACGGCATCAGTCGTAAGGAACAAGGAGCTCCCCAGGGCGAGTGGGGCGCCGTAGCAACTCAAGGAGAATGGTCGTAAGTATTACTACCTCAACCTCTCACTCTAGCAGTCATGATCTCAACTTATAAGTGTTCTGAGACCCCAACCTCGACCACTAATTAATGTTGACTCACGAAATCGTAAGGACACGATTGCAAACAAACCATACCACGGGCGGGGCCAGCTGGCCCAACTAGCCCAGTTGCTAGCGCGTCGGTCTGGAGTTTTATGACTCTCAGAACGCGGGTTCTAACCCCGCCCGTAGTATGGTTTACTAAGTAATGTAGTTTTCAACTTCTGTTCCTGGAGGTAATACCACTGTCATGAAACTATATTTAATACTTGAGTAATATTTTACTAAGGACACACGGTATTTCTCGTCTGCCAGACCTGAGCTGCTTGTAGAAAATCTGCTGATCAAATTATGCAGTCTTGAAATATTATGTCTATATTGTATTTTGTGACTAATAATTCACATTAGCGGAAGTTATTATTATAGTTTTGATTATAATTATTGCTCTAAGATGATTATATATGTCGTACCGAATAGGTAAAACTTGCGATTTTGGTTTAAATAACAACGTTCTTCTTGCCGAATTAGGCAAGCGAAAATTTGTGTATGTAATAATTTCGCAAAAATCATTCTGAACCTAACGAGAAAAAAATATATTGCACTGTGTTTGTTTATTATTAAATTATTGTAAACTTATCTGAAATATATATAGTTGGATTAGGCTAAATTAAATTGCGCTTGTTATAATAAGGTTAGGTAAGTTTCCTAAGGTTCTTTTGGTACAGAATTATTAATTTTTACATAAACATAAGTGAAAAAAAATCTTTAAACATTTAAGAAAATTTTAGACAGGACTTAATTTTAAATGAGTTTTTGTACTAAATACGTAGAACTCCCTTAAAAATCAAAATTTTCACAAAAAAAAAAAATCAGATTAATAACTATTTTTTATCTGGTGCTGAATAGGTAAAATTGGTCATTTAGCAAGAACTCATTTAAAATTAAGTCCTTACTAAAATTTTCTCTTATATGTTTAGAGATATATTTTCTTCATTTATGTTAATGTAAAAATTAATAATTTTGTACCAAAAAATCTTAGTAAACTAACCTAACCTTATTATAACAAGCGCAATTTAATTTAGCTTAATTCAACTAAATATATTTTAGATAAGTTTACAATAATTTAATAATAAACAAACACAATGAAATATATTTTTTCGTTAGGTCCAAATGATTTTTGCGAAATTATTACATACACAAATTTTTGCATGTCTTATTCGGCAAGAAGAGCGTTGAAATTTAAGTCAAAATCGCGAGCTTTACCTATTCGGTACGACATATATATGACACACGTTATATTCTTCCTACTGTCTTGGTACAGGTTTACCTTCCCTGACGGCACTCCTGCTCATTTCTCCTTCGTTGCTGACGGCAACGGTTTTAATGTACAATCTGACCAGTTGCCCGTGGGCCCGCCCATGCCAGCCCACGCTATTGCCCAGATCGAGGCAGCCCGTCTGGAGGATGAAGCTGCAGCCGCCTCTTCCGATACCAGTCAAGCTGTAGTCGTTTCTCCCACTTTTAGTCAACCACCTGCTGCTGCCTTCCCCGATATCAGGCAAGTTGCAGCTGTATCTCCTGTTGTCAGTCAAGCTGTAGCCGTTTCTCCCACTTTTGATCAACTACCTGATATCGCTGTCCTCGATATCAGGCAAGCTGCAGCCGCCTCTTCCGCTACCAGTCAAGCTGCAACCGTGTCTCCAGTTGCCAGCCAACCTGTCCCTGCTCCCTCGTCCATTTACAGGGCTCCTTAGATGACCTAATTTGTTCTGCCCATGGCAAGGCTTAGCTTTCGTGTAATGTGTGCATAAGTGCGAATTCAAGATAAATTGTAAGTTTCTGTTCTGGTTGACGCTACTTCATAAATCTCTGAAGTCATCTCTTAATTAATGCTCTTGATTTCTAATTTTCTACTTTGCACCAAATCCATTTACATTTCTCTGTATGTGCATCTCTGAATAATCTTTACCTGATTAGAATTTATAATATTCTAGGAGCTTTCATGCATCTAGGACATTGTAAATGAGGTGTTGGGAGCAATAAGAGCGAACTCTATATATGAACTTTAATAGAAATTAATCCTTAAAACACTATGTTGTGCATGCAAAAAATAATAATCATTAAAAAGTTGTTTTCATTATTTTATGCGTGCATAACTATTATTGTTATTATTATTGATATTATTATTATTATAATTTTTTTTGGGGGGGAGGGGGGCTAATGTTTTGGTGTCGAGTTCTGTCTTTCTACGCTCCATACTTCGTGTTACAGACTGACTGACTGAGATTTCTTGTCACTTGGTTCCATCGTCTCTCAAAACTTAGCTGCCTGACCTGTCGTCTTCAACTATGAGTATTTATCTAGTTTTGACCTCGATATCTGAGACTTTAAAAACCCTTAGTTATCATTTAACTTGGTATTGTAATAGTCTTGAATCATGGCTGCCTTTTATCCTCAGTGATGTAATCTCGGCTGTTTTCAATCCTTTTATCTTCCGTTCCTAGCTGGCATATGTTTCAGTTATTTATAGCCTTGGTTACCATTGGGTTCTTGTATGGTGACGTATTTAACGTCTGGGTTTCTAGCTGCTCTGAGAGACTGTTGCATCACCGGGTTCACATTATGCAAGTTGACCATCATTATGGCGACTCCAGCAACTTGCATCGTTGATGCTGAGCCAATTATACAAAATTATTTATTTTTCCTTTTTTATAGACCTACTTCTTTAAAATGCAAATAAATGTATTTATCTCATACATGTGTGTGATTCACTATCCCCCGCAACATCAATTACCTTTGTTATGACACTTAAGTCCACGAGTGGACTACCACCCCATATTTTTCTTTATAATGCACGTCTTCTTGTCTCACGTATGCACTGAAGAGGACTTCAGGTGGACGTCGATATACACAGACAGTTTATCACTGGTATTTCTGTCTCCATGTGGTCGCTGACCTCTCATATATATATATATTCATTTTTTTACAACCTCATCTATAAATATGTTAAATATTCATAGTGACATCAAGTATCCCTGTCTAAGGCCTACTTATACTGGAAAATAATCCCATTGTTTCCTGCACACACTAACTTTAGCCTAATCTCTCATAAAAAACTCTTCACTGCTTTTAAAAACGTATTGTCAATTCCATACATTTCCACATCTGCCAAATTGCTTCTTTCTCCACCCTTTCTAAATCCTTTTCTAAATGCCTTTCTTTGATTGCCTTTTCAAAATCAAATACAAGTTCCTTACCTTTAATAACTTATAAGTTGCTATGTAAATAGCTGGTTTACACCTTAGTTTTAATTCCTAAAACCTCACAGTTTCTCTGCAATATTACTGTCTAATTCCTAAGTCTCTCAAAAATAATTCTAACTTTACCCTGTACACTGGATATACTGATCACTTAAACCAGCTACTACTAAACTATATCTCCACCTACTTTTAGCATCTCAGTATTAATCTCGTCTGTCCCAGCTACTTAATTTACTGTCATTCAAACCACTGCCTCACACACTTCCCTCACAATAAATTAAAGTGGTGGACTGGTAAGCCAGCGGAAGGCCTAGGTCAGATTACCATACCTTCAGTGGCGGGTCATCATATGACCAAGACCCACGTCACGAAGCACTTGTCCTATTTCCTGACAAATCTTACCTAATCTAACTCATATATGTCTTTGTTTATTCCTGATTCCTACCACTTATTAGTTCTTCCTACCCAAGGTGAGTCAGCAATACTTCGTTTCATCGTCAACATTCACCCACTCAAAATATTCTCCCAATATTTCCAGTATCTTTCTATTTCCATCAAAAATATTTTTTTTTTCACTTTTAACTCGAAAATCAATTTTTTTTCCTCGGGGATTCTCAATCCATTAATCGGTCTTAAAAACTATTTCTTAGTCTTGGCAAAATTCGCTCATCCATTCTCTCACTGGCTCTTTTTTTTGCACTTCCTCACTACTCGTTTTTAGCTTCATATAATATATTTTCCTTATGCTATTTTCACATTGTACAATCTTCTCATATGCCAATTTGCTCTTCCTTTCAGCTCTTCCCCTTACCAGTGCACCAATAATTTCTTTTTCCCATTAGTGCCCATCCTCCTATATCCACAAAGTACTCATTACCTATATTATCTCCCTCACCTTTCTATTAATAGTTGCTTATATTCATACCCATCGATTCCATTTTTCAGTAGTACCAGTTATCCCATTAGTACCAGTTACCAGTAACCAGTTACCAGTAGTGTCAGTAGTAATGACTCCTACCAACCGTCTGCGTGAGTCACTGACTGTTATTCACTGTTAACTAGTATGATTTGTATGCCGCTCACCCCTAGGCACCACTACTGACTTAGTTCAAGTAGAGGCATAGAACTGGAGACAGAACAGGCTTGGTGCTCCTCATATATTCCATCCAATGTACGTACTTAACATCTTACGTGGGTGTTTCATACCTAATCTACATTTCGAACCCCCACACGATACATTCCCTTCGTATTTCGTTCGTCTTTTGTTCATACTGCAGCTACCAGGAAACAATAAGCTGACATCATTAACTGCTCTAAAAAAAACAAATTTAAATAATTCATATTAATCGCTAAACTCATGTGGGTCATTCAGCGCAAGACGTGGTGGAAGCTCGATCCTCCGTCTGCTAAGCGCGAGTGGTGGGAAGTTTTCTCATATTAAAGGTAACGTCTTGTCGCCGGCCTATTCCGCCTCTGAGGCGGGTGTACCTAATAAAATGGCCAGTGACAGTATATACGTCTACATATTGTGCAATAAGATCACAGTAAACAGGTGATATCAGAATATGCAAAACAACCACTGTGAAAGAATAGTGAAATTCCAAGCGCATTCGTGACTTCTCACATTATCAAGGAAGAATAAAAACAATACATCAAAGGAAGGCATATAAAGGGTCAAGACTACACCTCACCATCACATCCCACAACAAAGCAACACCTCACACACGCGTGACAACACCCGACTCTCTGAAACACACCTAATACTCTACCCAGGAATTAAAAGATTTATTGTTTAATGTATCATTAAATTCTTCCCAAATTTTATTAATTACAAATGAATCCAATTTATATAAACCAAAGGAAATATTCATATTATTTCAAAACTGCTTTTTATGAAACAGGATTCAATTATATTCCTGTCGACCATGAACTTGCTTGACACAAGAATGGTTAAAATCTTTCACATGAATAAATAAAGCATTAGAATCTTGTCTATGTATTGTATATATAAAACATATTAAAATCTTAATAAATGTATATTATTTGACCGACATGTTATTTTGTTTTCATAGGTGGGCAACATTTTTTTTGTAAGAGTACAACTGCCCACCTAATTAACATGTTAAAAGTATTATTGTTTAGTGAGTGTTTGACAAGACATGTTTTATTAGGGATTCTCTGTGAGGCAAGACAATTGTTTCTTAAATTCTGTATTCACCTAGTTGTACTCACCTAGTTGAGGTTGCAGGGGTCGAGTCCAAGCTCCTGGCCCTGCCTCTTCACTGGTGGCTACTAGGTCACTCTCCCTGAACCGTGAGCTTTATCATACCTCTGCTTAAAGCTGTGTATGGATCCTGCCTCCACTGCATTGCTTCCCAAACTATTCCATTTCCTGACTACTCTGTGGCTGAAGAAATACTTCCTAACATCCTTGTGGTTCATCTGTGTCTTCAACTTCCACCTGTGTCCCCTTGTTGCTGTGTTCAATCTCTGGAACATCCTGTCTTTGTCTACCTTGTCAATTCCTCTCAGTATTTTGTATGTCGTTATCATGTCCCCCCTATCTCTCCTGTCCTCCAGTGTCGTCAGGTTGATTTCTCTTAACCTCTCCTCGTAGGACATACCTCTTAGCTCTGGGACTAGTCTTGTTGCAAACCTTTGCACTTTCTCTAGTTTCTTTACGTGCTTGGCTAGGTGTAGGTTTTAAACTGGTGCCGCATACTCCAATATGGGCCTAACGTACACGGTGTACAGGGTCCTGAACGATTCCTTATTAAGATGTCTGAATGCTGTTCTGAGGTTTGCTAGGCGCCCATATGCTGCAGCAGTTATTTGGTTGATGTGCGCTGCAGGAGATATGCCTGGTGTTATACTCACCCCAAGATCTTTTCCCTTGAGTGAGGTTTGTAGTCTCTGGCCCAATAGACTGTACTCCGTCTGCGGTCTTCTTTGCCCTTCCCCAATCTTCATTACGTTGCACTTGGTGGGGTTGAACTCCAGGAGCCAATTGCTGGACCAGGTCTACAGCCTGTCAGATCCCTTTGTAGTTCTGCCTGGTCTTCGATCGAATGAATTCTTCTCATCAACTTAACGTCATCTGCAAACAGGGACACTTCGGAGTCTATTCCTTCCGTCATGTCGTTCACAAATACCAGAAACAGCACTTGTCTTAGGACTGACCCCTGTGGGACCCCGCTGGTCACAGGTGCCCACTCTGACACCTCGCCACGTACCATGACTCGCTGCTGTCTTCCTGACAAGTATTCCCTGATCCATTGTAGTGCCTTCCCTGTTATCCCTGCTTGGTCCTCCAGTTTTTGCACTAATCTCTTGTGTGGAACTGTGTCAAACGCCTTCTTGCAGTCCAAGAAAATGCAGTCTGTGTGTGTGTGTGTGTGTGTGTGTGTGTGTGTGTGTGTGTGTGTGTGTGTGTGTGTGTGTATTTGTTAGTTACCATTTTGTCCTAGGCACATGTCGATTAGACACTAGGCCTGTTCTATCGGTGTGTGTGTGTATGTGTGTGTGTGTGTCTGTGTGTGCTCATTCGTACTCAACTATTTGTGGTTGCAGGGCTCGATTCACAGCTCCTGGCCCCGCCTCTTCGCTGGTCGCTACCAAGTATACTCTCCGTGCTCCATACACTTTGTCGTATCCCTTCTTAAAGTCGTGTGTGGATCCTACCTCCACTACATCACTTTCCAGAGTGTTCCACTTCCTGACAACTCCATGGCTGAAGAAATACTTCCTAACTCATCTGAGTTTTTAGCTTGCTGTTGTGTCCCATCTCTGAAACCTCCTGCCGCTATCAATCCTGTCAATTTCTTTCACTATTTTATATGTCGTTATCATCCCCCCCCCCCATTTCTCCTGTCCTCCTGTGTCGTCAGGTTGATTTCCTTTAACCTCATAGCTCCGGGACTAGTCTTGTTTC